TGTGTATTACAGGCTAGCTTCAAAGGCTGTTCTGCATGCTGTATGCAGGCTGTAATTCTTTGACATGTATGGGAATATGAAATCCATAATATGATTCAAGTTTTGTTTATTAAAATGATGGTTTTCAAGGGAAGTGGTGGTCTGACAGGCAAACTGCAGAGATTAGAAAGATGATGCCTGAGCAGTTGCTTTTATGGGGCTTCTGCTCTGAGATTGGGAGTTAAGAGTTCTATTTGGTCTCCCTTTAACAGAGGCCAGAGCTTCAAGTCAAGCTTGGTCTAAATCACTTTGTTAAATCTGGAAGAATTGTGGCTGAAAAGCAAGTTCCTTTCACTGGGTCTCCCACAGTGAAGTAGTGCTTCATAGTTTATGTTTATTTGTGCATATTCTTCAAACATATCAATTGACTTGACTTGCCTGGGATGTGTTGACATTAGTCAGGAAATATTGTCTGAATGACCTTACCTTTGTGTGCTGTGTGGGTATAAAATTATCTGTCTACCTTACAAGGTGCTCTCTAGCCTTTTGATAAAGGTACTCTGTGTTTTTAAAAAAATAAATTACGATATTTGCAATAAGCCAGGTAAGCTGAATTAGTGCTGACTATTTTGCCTTGACTATCTGTGCAATATGACTATATTCAGTCAATATAAACATATGTTGTCATATCTCTTATAAATTTTAGCTAAAGTAAGCATATCAGAAATCACTTATGAATAAATGTAATCAAGGTCTTCAATTTTTCTCTTTTTACAGATGATTCAGCAGCATCAGGAGTGGCTAGAAGACTTGGTTATTAGACTACTTTGTGTGTTTGCATTAGACAGATTTGGAGACTTTGTTTCAGATGAAGTAAGTTGTCTTTTGAGTGACGAGGTAGATAAGCAGGCTTCTGCAGGAGATAACATTGCAGCAGATCAGCTATGCTTTGTACAGTGCTCCTGCATGTGGCTGTTGTAATTGCTCACAGATGCTTATTACAAAGTAGCAGATAGATAAATTTCACCTTATTTGTATAGCAGTTTTGTTCATCTGACTCTACTCAAACTAGTTTCTTTCCAACTCAGATTTCATATAGAAGTGTCTGTTTTATCGTTTACTTTATCCTAGGTGGTAGCACCAGTACGTGAGACTTGTGCTCAGACTATGGGAGTAGTATTGAAACACATGAATGAGACTGGAGTTCATAAAACTGTGGATGTTCTCCTGAAGCTGCTCACACAGGAACAGTGGGAAGTGAGACATGGTGGTCTCTTAGGAATAAAGTATGCTTTGGCAGTACGTCAGGTAATAACCCTCATGACAAATTGCAGAGAGCTTTGGAACAGGAAGCTCTGCTCAAAGTAGAGGATATGGATGAATGTTAGATAGGTATGATAAAGCAAGCTTGCTTGCACTGCAGTCTCATGTGGGTTCTAAGATGTGGGACTGCATTTTTATATCCAGGCTGCAGAAATCTGCAAGTATATAGCAAAGTTGTACTATTGTAACCTGGTGAGTTGCTTGCACAAAACACTGTAAATAGAGGCTGTGCTTTGCCTGGCTTCGATGATACTTTCATGTGCAAGGTTAACAGAGCTGAGTGCTACAAGAGGCTTCAGTCTATTCGTGGTATTATTCTGCAAACACTGAGCTTTGTTTACATCAAAACTGAGCTGAGTTAGTTCATTCAAATTTGTAACCTATGTTTAACTTCATGAATTGTAACTTAACAATGTTTAGATGCTAGTCTTGGACCTGCAACTTCTGTTTTATATAACAAACAGGTTTATTCGCACACTTAGAGTACATCTTAGTTGTTTGGGGTGTTATATGCTTTTTAAGTCTAAAAATGCTTTTCATCTTTTTGGCAGGACATGATTAACACTTTATTGCCTAAAGTGTTGCCTGCAATAATTGATGGTCTCCAAGATCTGGATGATGATGTCCGAGCGGTTGCTGCAGCGTCTTTAGTACCAGTAGTGGAAAGCCTTGTCCAACTTCAGTCTCAGAAGGTGACTGAATTGTTTTCCATCAGTTCTGATTGAAAAGCTCACTTCTGGTCTGAGTGAAGAAAACAATGCTTAGAGGCAGCACTTGCATTTTCCTTTTTTGTTTTTTTTGGGGTTTTTTGTGTTCTGTTTTTTTTAACCAATAACCTCTTCTGCTTATTTTTGTAGGTGCCTTTTATTCTTAATACCTTGTGGGATGCACTTCTGGAGTTGGATGACTTGACAGCTTCCACAAACAGTATCATGATCCTTCTTTCTTCCCTTCTGACTTATCCTCAGGTCCGCAAATGCAGGTAACACTAATTATTATTGCTTCAGTATTGCAGATTTGACTGTCCAGTTTTTTCAGATTGGAATAATCAAAGTCTCTTTCAAATCATGTGCCAAGGAGACACTTGCTTTAAATCAGTGTTTTAATTTTACTCTTGCTTTTCATTAAAGTGACAGTTAGGATGGTGCTTCTATTTTCATTACATTAGTAAAAGGCAACAAAATAATTAAAAGGTACTAGACATTGTTTGTATGTGACTTCCCCCCCACCCACCCATTTTGGTGTGTTAGTAAAGGATATCAGCTCCACTCATCTGGTGGTCCTGCCCACAGACTTGTTTGTCTGCTCGTTGTTGACAAACTCCAAACAAGAGAGCAAAATATTTACGTTAAAACCTGTAGAACTTTGCTATTGGAACAGTTCTAAAGAAAGCTACAAACTTGAAAATTCCCATCAATGGTACAACCAGGAATTCTGTGACTCGTTGAATACAATGCCTAGTTCCTCTCTGTTTGAGGCTCTGTCAAATTAAAGGAATGGTATGTTAGTATGTTAACATTTTTCATAATACGTACGGTGAACTTGTAGCATCTGCACTTAAGGTAGATGCTTTACGCATCTTTCTCATCCTGTATGATTGTCACTGTTGATTTGCCCAAATCCAAAATTAAGAATGAAGTTTAGTCACCAATGGTCATCCTTAATTCAGCATGTACTGCTTGCATCAGTTGATGTGCAATTTCATGCACAAAAGATCCAAGCTTGTTTTTAACTATTTCTAAACTCACAAATGCCTAATAACAAATTCAAAACAAAACAAAAAAGACGCACTCTATCTTTTAAATAGTTGAAAAAAGCTGGAAGTATAATCTGCGAAACAACACGGTAAAAATACATGCTTGAATTGACTATTTCTTTTTACCAGTAAGAAAAAACAGTATTTTCCTGAAAAAAAATAAATGCTGACTTAAGCTGTTTTAAATTTTTAAACTATAGTAACTTGATCCTTCACTTAATAGCAATAACACTTATTTAAAAAGCTTTCTTTTGGATAAAACAAAGGATAAACAAAGTTAACTTAGCTCTGTGTGTTTGTGTTTTGTTTGTGTTTTTTTTCCCCTGTCACTGCCTCTACATCTCCCCTTTATGTACCAGTATTCAGCAGTCGCTCACAGTTTTGGTCCCACGTGTGTGGCCGTTCTTGCATCATACAATATCTTCTGTGCGAAAAGCAGCACTGGAAACATTATTCACGCTGCTGTCTACCCAAGACCAGGTAAGAATTAGAGTTATTGGTGTTTTATAATGCTACATATTACAGTCTGCTTGATCATATGATGTCCTTGTTTCAGAGCTCTTCAACATGGCTGACTCCTATTCTGCAAGACATGTTGAGGCACATATTTCAATTTTGTATTTTAGAAAGCAATCAAGAGATTCTGGATCTTATTCACAAGGTATTTGCATGACTTATGACCTCTATATATATGGTTTGTGTCTCCTGCTCTTTCATGTCCTCTGCACTTCTTAATATTAATTATTTTGTAGTTAACCTATGTGATGCTTTACTGTAGAATGAAGGAGACTAGCATGGTCCCTGCAGTTTATCAGCGCATATATGGTCTTATGTAGACTGCATACAAATTTGTCATGATTTCCACTATGGTTCTTTCCCAAGGTATGGCTGGAACTGTTAAACAAGGCATCTGTACAGTATGTGGTTGCAGCTGCTTGTCCATGGATGGGAGCCTGGCTGTGCTTAATGATGCAGCCATCTCATTTGCCCATTGACTTAAACATGTTGCTAGAAGTAAAAACCAGATCAAAAGTAAGTGAAATGTGACCTCATTAACCGTTCTGGGGAAAGCAGGAAGCTGATTAGCTGTATATAAAGACATGTTTTAAAGGTGTTAGAGGGGAGTGATGGTGCCTTTCTACAACTCTAAATGTAACCTAGCCTACAAATCTCAAGGCTGTAGAGCAAAATAGTTCTTATCAGCTTATCCATGAGAATTCAAAGTTCTGTCATGTAGCACGCTGCCTATTTAATACTTTAGATGAAGTCTTTATTTACGTGGTGCCATCACCATTATGGTTGCAAAAGTCTAAAAGCATTGCGTTATTTCTGAAAACACATTGAAAGAGGTTCCCTTTTTCCTCTGTGTAGACTCAGTTTATCAGCTATATGTTGAGTATTAGTTTTAATACTATAGTGAAGGAACCATATCATACATTTAATAGGACCATAGAATACTATTAGTGGAGAGGTGATTTACAATGATTAACTACTTTAAGTCTATTATCCAAGAAATGTTCTGGCTTAGTCCAACTTTTGCAGGGTATGATTGTTATTGGAAATGCTATGGAATATGAATGCATCTTTTCTATTACGAACACATTTACTTTCAACCTCTCCCAACTTTATTCCATAGGAAAAGGCAGGTGCTAAACTGCGTCAAGGTCAAACCCAGAATAAGGAAGTGATTCAGGAATATATTGCTGGGGCGGACAGCATTGCAGAAGATCCAGCAACCAGGGATTATGTTGTCATGCGAGCTCGGATGATGGCAGCAAAGTCAGTTTACTGGAAATCTGAAAACATATTTAAATGCAATTTATCTCTTTTGTTATATAGTGGTTTTGCCAAAATCTAATTATATAGAGGGTTTGGGGATTTTCATTTTGAATCATTAATTGCAGAGTAATTGTAACATTGAAGTCACTGTTCTTTCTCCTTTTGTCAGGTTGCTGGGAGCACTTTGTTGCTGCATCTGTGACCCAGGTGTAAATACTGTTACTCAAGAAATAAAGCCAGCTGAATCATTAGCTCAGCTACTGCTCTTCCACTTGAATTCTAAATCTGCCTTGCAGAGGATTAGTGTTGCATTAGTAATCTGTGAGTGGGCAGCCTTGCAAAAGGTAGGATGTTTCTGCTGCAAAAATAAATTTCACTTACTATCTTAATCCATAGCTTGTCGTCTGCTACTTAGCTTGAAATAAAATTTCAGTTGATAAGCTAAAATGGTATTTATATATCTAAATAATAAAACGTTAATTGTTAGACAATGGGAGAATACATCATTTGGTAGCTAAATGCCAACTGTCAGAACTATGAAACAGCAAATGTGTTCACATTTCTTCTACAAATAAGTCTCTTTAAGATGCATGTTATCTAAGGTCAATGCTTCCTTTTAACATGACTGTCTTCCCTGTATTCACTATCAGTTCTGTTTGAGTTGCAGACTGAAGGTTTTGCTCATAATCCTTAATTTTCTGGGTTACAAATGTTACTGGTCCCTCTGGAAACTGGATTTTTGTAGCTAGGTTATGCTGTTTAGTGCCCAAAACTGAACAGAAGAAATTGTGACTGCTCAAATACAAATTGTCTCTTTCTGTTATAGGAGTGTAGAACTGTGGCCATTTGTGTGCAACCTCGTTTACTTGGGGTCCTTTCTGAACATCTCTATTATGATGAAATTGCTGTTCCTTTTACACGAATGCAGAATGAATGTAAACAACTCATCTCATTGTTAGCTGATGCACACATTGACATTGGAAACAGAGTAAACTGCAGTGTATTTACAATAGATCAAGCTAATGAGCTGGTGAGTAGAGGCATGCCTGCCCTTCCTTCAAATCTATTCTTGTCTTGAAATACATCTTCAACATAATTACTGCACGGACAGTAACTTTCAGAAATAATGTAGTGACTTCACACGTCCGTTGACATGAGATACATGATAGATACTTAACACTTCCCCTGCAGTGTTTACAGTCTATGCCAAAAATCAAGTAGAATGCAAGATAGATACTTAACAGGAGAAAAAATTGTCAATATTTGATTCCAGATATAGATTCATTACTGAAATCTACACAGAAGAAAGCAAAACAGGCTGGAACCCCTTCAAAACCATTGTCGAAAGACTAGTATATGAACTGTTTAAATTCTAGACCACCTCCCCTGAGACCCCCAAACCATGTGTTTTAAAGTGGGTTTTTTTTCTGGCTGTTCAATTGTTTTGGGATTTTTTAATCAGAAAACATCAATGTTAGATGTGCTAATAAAAGGTAGCTCTTGGCATGAAAAGCTTTGTAAGCAAAGATAGAGCTGATTATGTTGTGTAACAAATTAAAAGGTGTATTTTTCAACCTCAAACTGGCCTCTTAAGCAGAGAGATACACGAGTATGGACGGATGAGGTAGGACGTAAATGAAGAAATTGTGGATTTGAGAGCCTGCAAAATAAAAGGGAACTGAGTTGGGAGGGGTGTGTAGACTTGGGGGGATGAAGGCATGGTGACGGATGTGTCACAGCTTGGGATGGGGGAGGAGGGAGGTTAGGATCCTGGATGTGTTTGTGTATGCAACTGGGATGCTGAGGATAAGGGTAAGAGAAGGTTTAAGTTTGTACAGTTATGGCCATGATGGCTGTAGCATGATGAATCTTGAAATTCTCAGATGATTCTGTTTATGTAGTAATAAGCAGTAGCTTGACTTGGAAATTTCAACGTATCTTTAAAGTTATAGATAACTGTGTATATGGGCTGAGGGGATTTTGGCAGCCAGTCTGATTATGGATACCATCTAAACTGAACAAATTTCCAAGGTAAAGCCAGATAGAATTGTGTGAGCTCGTAGTCTGTGAAGTACAGAAGTTTTCATATACCTCAAGAAGTTTTCATATACCTCAGCTGTTTACTCTTAATCCTAGTAATAGGGCTGCTTGACCAATGCTTGTTTTTTTCAAAAGATACCCATGCTGAATTAGAAGCCTCGTTCCATAGCTATTTGTTATTTTCTATGGCTGTCTTCTGCACCTTTCTCTACTCGAGTTTTCTTGAAATGCAAACACCAGACCTACTCTGCATTGTAATATTGGTCTTCATGCATTAGATAGATGGAAAAACCCTGTGCTCCTCCTTGCTATTCGTATTTTTTGCATCCTTTGGTCATTCCTGTCATCTAGGTCACGTGGATTAGAACCTGAGCTATCTACAGAATGAAGCAGTAAAATTCTGATAGTTGAAAGACTTGACCTGAACATTTAAAAGGCAAAAAAAACCCCCCACAAAACCCACCAACAAAAAAACCTTTCAGACTAACCCTCTCAACACCTGTCATCTTTCCTGTACTTAGGAGCCTAAATATCATATCAGTAGAATAAGTTCAGTATTTCCATGATTCCATGTTGCTTTTAATCTGTTTCCTGGGAAAGATTTGAGCAACAATTGTCAGCTGATTGGGGAGGGGGGGAGGCATATGGCAAGTCCTGCAACTGCTGTGTTGTGCTGACTTTTTCCTTAGATGTTTATTCTGGTCTCTTTCCTCATAAGAAAATCAGCTTAGAAACAACTTTTTCGTGCACAGGACCTTGCACATCCTTTCTGGCTTCTTGTACTTATAGCGTATTCGCCTTTGCTTACCTGTCACATGCTTACATATGCTAGAATATCTGGATATATCTGACAGATACAGGACAACCTAAATTTGGAGGAGTATGTAAACTCCTTTTTTAGCTTTGGGAATCTAGACTTGAAATGTTCATATGCCTGATTTTTCCCCTTGAGCTGCAGTTCAAGATTCCAGAAGCTACATTTTGGAGCATTTCCTGCTATGGAGACAATACCTGGTGAAATAACTCATGTTCTGCCATGAAAACCGCAGTTTTCAGAGGATATCCTGTTTTACAGTAAATGAAGCGTTTGTAACTCTTTTCTTCCTTTTTATTAGGTTACTTCTGTTTTCAATGAAGTGACATCATCCTTTACTTTGAATCCTAAAATTCTACAACAGTTGGACAGTAAACGACAACAAGTACAAATGACCGTTACAGAAACAAATCAAGAATGGCAAGCGTTGCATCTGCGAGTCCATACATTTGCTGCATGTGCAGTTGTGAACTTGCAGCAACTTCCAGAAAAACTGAATCCTGTTATAAAGCCCTTGATGGAAGCTATCAAAAAAGAGGAGAATACACTTGTACAAAACTATGTGGCTTCATGTATAGCAAAGTTACTTCAGCAGTGTACAACAAGGTCTCCTTGTCCCAACTCAAAGATCATAAAAAATCTCTGCAACTCCCTCTGTGTGGATCCACATCTTACTCCACTAGCAGCATGTCCTGCACAGCCTCAGAGTAGCCATGAAAACTCAAAAGGTACGCTCTCTAAGATTGCCAGGATTCTTAAAATATGTCTGTGCTTGTCTCTGAACTGTTAAAGTGAGTATTTGAATTGTTTTCAGTGTTTTTAAAATGCCAGCAACCGAGTCTTAATTTATTGGTAGTTCATTTAGGTATCTTAAACCACATGCTCTGTGCAACTAATCATGTGTATAGTTTTCAGAAAACTTATGTATAAAAGACCTTAGTTCCAATTTTCAATTGTTTACTGTTGTTCAATTATTATTCACTTATGATCACATTTCTTTTAAATGTGTTATGAAGCTTTTCAGTGAAGTTGAATAAGTATGGAAATTAGAGTAGCCTGTTAGAAAAAAGTCTTACTGGTGTCATGTTCCATAGGCTAATAGCAAGGTAGCAAAAGAAGAGGACAGTGTTCAAATTGAACAAATAATCCTGTGTACACTATAGTCATGGATTTTCTTGAAATGACTGTCCCTTGCTAAAAATGTATGGATTGAATGGACAACACAAATTAAGACCTTAATACTCTTAAAGATTCTAACTTGCTTCAAGGTTTTACCATTATACGTTTTACTTAATGAATGTGTCTTCCTTCATGTCAGAGTAGAATACTACTCATAACTGATTAAGCTGATTAGCATGAATAAACATCAACAAATCCAAAGATACTGATGGTGTCTACTGTTGTATCATGGTAGAAGTCTTGAACTGTTTGTAAAAGACACAGAACGTAAGCTTAAATTTTAGAACATAATGTGTTGTTTTATATAAAAAAAAAC